GATTTCTTTCATAAAACAATCAGCTTTTTAAAATTGCAATAACAGAGAGAAAATAAAATATACCGACTTGAAAATCTAGCGAATCCCAAAAAATCGAATGGGCAAAGTTAAGGAATGACGACTTCACAATACTTTTCCCCCGACATCCAAACTCTCCAATCCAATGAAGAATATGAGTTTGGTTGAAGAAATAGGGACCATTTCCTCAGTGCACTTTGAACAGGTTTCTGCTTCTGCTACCCCCATGTGCACAGAAGCTTTGTTGGAAGAGTTAGAAAAGAAACTGGAATCTTGACATGGTGTTGGGTCAAGTGGTGTTCAATCTGCCTTTCCTTCTCTTTGCTGTGTTCTACTCCTTTTCCACTGGCAAAAGATTTGATCCATACACTTGTGTCCATGTGTAAAGCCAGCTTGTGTTACATTCTGATACTTCAATTAATGCACCATACTAAAAATTAGTGAAACCCTTCTGTATTGGACTCCAAGAAACAGTGCAATCAGCTGAAGAAATCTTGGGGTGGATTCTTAACAACTGCCTCATTTAGAGAAGTACAGATATGACAATTGGCTGATTTGATTTCCTTTTCTACCATTTCTAAATAACTTATTCATATTGTATTTTAGCTGACAAAACACCCAAGTCTGGTCATAATACGGCTGCTTTTCCACAGTGAGTTTGATAATGCAGTCTGCGAGCCGCTTTCTGGACATAAGTCGGATATTGGTTATAATTCTCCAAGCTTGGGCCATCCATATTGTACTTTGCTTGGGTAGAAGCTGAAGTGAGCAGCTTTTAAGCATAAGTGTGTGGATAGAGAATGCCCACCAAGCCCTCGAAGAGAAAGAACCTGAAAGTTGTCCTGCTCGGAAAGTACTATTCTCAAGAACAAATCAACAACTTGCTATAGCTGTGGCTGAGACAGTGAGAGACAAAAAGAAACCCAGCCTCCTGTCTGCATGGCTGAACACCAGCGATGGACTCTTTAGCTCACAAACCAGAATGTGTTTAGCATTTCCATAAGCATTAAATGGCAGCAGGGATTTTCTTATAAACTTGTCAAAAATAAAACAAGGTAGCAGATGCTAGAGTCATTTTAATTAATTAAAATCATGTGACTAATTGGTCTCTGCTGGTAACTGCTTCCTTAACAGTAATGGGCAGCTGTGTTAAATGAAGCTCAGAGGAAGCACATACAACCCTAGGATGCCAGCAGCTGTACTCAGCACAGCACCAGCAGTGCTCAGCTCATACCTACCGACAGTGCAGTACTTATAGGTCCTACAGAACAAGGAAGTGAGGCAGCTTCAGATACTGACTATGAAAGGAATCTTCAAAATCTTATTGCCTTGCGACAAAAGCATCCACCAGCCAACATATCAGCTAAAGACCACTTTGTTTCATTTGTTTTTACTGCTAATGTCAGCATTAAACAGAATGACCACATCAGTCAACACAAGTTCAACAGCTTTAATATTCTCAGTAATCTGATTCTGTGTGTGTGTGTGTGTGTGTGTGTGTTTTTGTGTGTGTGTGTGTGTGTGTGTGTGTGTGTGTAGCACAATTACACTCAGTATTAATGCTTACACCAACTTGGATAAATAGTGTTTTGACTACTCTCCAGTGAAACAAGATTGGGAGTTATAAATCATGAGGTAAACAAGCCATTCACTGATCCTTTTTTACTTATCCTCTTCCATTATTACTTCCCACTGACATCAATAGGATGTGATCCCTGATCCATTTTGCTTCACTGATTCTAATAGTTCCAGTGGGACCATTCAAAGACATTGTACTGTTTCAGGATAATATTAAATAAGAAGCTGTATCATTTGTAATGAAGCTCTTTTTCTTGGAACTGCACAGAGGGGTGGGGAGATGAAGCAAACACTGAACGAGAGGTTGTGATGCAGCAAAGAGACACATTTGACCAGTGTATCCAGTACCATCCCCTCTTCCTGTTGTTTTCCTAAATTGTTTAGCAATTCTTGCTTCTCAAGCAAATTCCATTCCCTTCCACACCACCTGATGTGCCTAGTGTTATTGCTGCTGTAATGTCCAATGCACTGAAAGTTCCCATGATTTTAATGCTGATCAATGATTAAATTTTATGTACCTTACTCCCTAGGTTTGCAGGCTGCGTCTCACTGAAGTTTCAAACAGTGAAGAAGATATAGATTTATGTCCGAAGAAGATACTTCCTATGTTAGATTGACTCTTGACATCAACTTTACTAAAAGAAAGAAAATCTGAGGACGTAAAAAATTACATTTTGGATCTAATCTCCCTCAGCCGATAGTACAATGGAATGAAATATCACAAGAGGAAGTCATTCAATCTATTGTGCCTTTGTCAACTCTGAGAAAGAGCTACCTAATTCGCCCCTGGATCAGAAAGGTCATTGGATTCGAAACATTAATTCTGTTTCTCTCTCTACAGATACTGCCAGACTGAGTTTCTCTAGCTATTTTCGTTTTTGTTTCAGATTTCCAGCATCCGCAGTTCTTTGTTTTTATCTAATTAGTCCCATCACTCCTGTCCTTTCCCCATTGCCCTGCAACTCAATCAGCCCTTTAAAAGCTCATAACCTGTCAATTTAACAGTAGTGTTTACAGCACAGCGGGGAAAAGCAGAAACTTCACTAAGTACCTTATTTGAAAAAATAAGGTGTGTGTAAGTCAGCAGTTCCTGATGTGCTGCCTACACAGACTGGTCTCAAACATGCACTCCTGTGTTAGAATGTGAACATTCAAAATATAAGAATCTGACAAAAGATTTGCAATGCTGAGAAGCAATGATATGCCACATCTCTTTTCGTGACTGCGACAACAAATATATTTTTCAAGCAACTAATCACTGTTAAAAAATTAAGACAACTGAAATCAATTCAATTTAAACAGAATTGGGTGGCTCACTTAATCCAAGACAAAGGGAAGTGCTGTTAAGTCAGAATTCCACAAGCTTACTGGAGTTGAGAAAACAGTTGTTTAGCTGGTAGGCCGTGATCCTAATTTACTGCTAAATCAGTAATATATTTTCAAAGTTATTATGGAATGACCTATTCAAATAAAGTTTCTTTTGAAGTTCAGAGATATAAATAAATCTTCTCTCACATATTTTTCTTTATAATGATCATTTTCAGTCTGGTTGCACTAAGTGCTGTGATATACTAAGAAGAAAATAAACATGCGTATGCCAACTGTGTCACTATTTATAAACACTCTTAAAAAGCTTCACTGATATCACTCCCTTTCAGCAACAGTATCAGTTTGCAAGAAAAGTGCACTAAAGCTGAAACTGTTACAGGCCATCTGACTCTTTTTACCAAGACAACTTCCATTCTTTGAAACAATATACAGACAATAAAATCAGCAAGATACAGGGTGCATGCATTGAAGAAAGAAGAAAACATTTGCATGATAATGCTGTGTCATCATTTCAAAGGAATATTTATTCCAATTCAGCAGTGAACATCCAACAAGCCACACAACAAATGATTCACACTTCCATCTCAGACACTGAAAGATATATCTGAGAGCAAAGAGCTACTGTTACGGTGCTACTGCAAATCTAGACAAATACCTTTCAGCAAGGTGCTGGCCAAACAGCAGACTTTCCAAGTGAAAAAGAAAGAGCCCTCCTCTTTCCTGGTCATTACAACAAGCCTCTGAATACGTTCATAATCCACAGCCACAAGAGTTCATGAATCTATGTTCTCTCGCTAAATCAATATTTGATGTGTTAAGTTTAACAGGATACAACTGACTGTCATAGCAATCTGATGTTTAAAGGAAAAAAATCATGATTGCATTCAACTTTGTTTCTGCAGTGTTGGAATCTTGGGCCTGCCAATTTGGTTACTGTATCAAACAGGAACTCATTGATGGTCAGGGAAAAGTCAATTTGAACCTGTTTTAAGCCAACAAGTGACATGGAGTCGTGAAATCAGAATTAACTTGTGAGCATTTCTAATAACTTCATACCTATTACTGTGTCTGTTGTTATTGTGAGATTGCACTAATGTCACACATCTAGTTGAGTGATTAAAATCAATAACCCACTTAAAGCAACACCTCCACTGTGCATCAACCTTTCAAAATAAACAGCACTAACCCCCCTCTCTTTGCCAAATTATATCTCATTTGTAAATGACACCAATATTTCCACACAGACTTTTTATACAACCATAGAGGACAGTTTTGTTTCTTGAAACTGGCAGCTCTTTGAGCTTTAAAGTTTGGACAGATGCTGATGAACACAAGATTGATGCAATGGCGCTCATCGGACTATCAGTGCGAATTCATGAATCAACATTTAACTCCTTTGAGCAATGAGTATCCTTTACAATTTCCCAAAAATAGTGCATGTAACACAGATATCCACATACATGATTGCCTGTCAAATTCCAATCCTAAATTCAGCAAATTTCAGCAATGTATAGGGCCATAATACACTCTTTAATTCATTGCACTCATTCATCTAAAGTGAAACAGCAGACAGTTTGCAAGTCCAGATACTTAGCAGCTGTACTCTGCGTAAAAGACAATGGCACTGAAAGCACAGGGGTGCTTTCAAAGTGGCTGGCAGATATATTTCCTCCCCATCTTGAGCCAAGCTTTCCCGGATGGGAAGGGCAGGGGCTGTTAAGAATGGGGAGGATGGGTAAAAGTTGATGCTATCCATCTTTGCCTTTCCAAACCAGCTCCTTTAAGCCCTTCAAGACCAACAGAGAGTGCTTGTTGGCAAGCAAGCACCACAATTGGGACAGGAGGGCAGAAAGAGATCGTGCAAAAAGTGAAAATCAAAATGTGTAAAAATGTTAAAATCTAGTGCAGAATAACTGTTGCAGTCCTCAAAGGGTTGATTCTGATGGTGAGGAATCCCTCTTTGCAACCCCCTTCATTAAAAAAAATCTGTACTGATGAACTCAGAATTGCCTGAGAACAGTATGAAGTGAATATCAATTGTTGACAGAAGCTATCTTCTTAGATTTACTTCTTACCTTGTTACGCTTGAAATAAGCCCGTCTGCAAGCTGCAAAGCACTTTTCACTGCAGAAACACTTCACCTCACTTCCCATGCTGAGGGAATAACGCTTAATTCCCAGCTTCTGGCACCAAGCACAAACTATTTGCACATTTATCATTTCATCATCTGAAACACAAAAAAAACACACAAAACATCATGAGGAAGAGTACCGTCAGTGTGGATTAACAGCACACTGCATCACCTTTTGAATCAGAATACATATACTGTAACCTCTCCAGTCCAAAAGGTTGTTATTTGAAAACACCAGTTGTCTAGATTTTTTGTTGAGCAGATGCAGCATTTTACTGCATAATATTAGTACAATACTTTGTGAGACACAGTATTTGAATCAGTAGAGCTTTGTTTTTATTACTGCCTTTAGTATTGTTATTAATGTTTTATTACTGTTGTATACTTCAGGTAAATACTTACATTTACATTATTTCACTGTTGTGATTGGGTATGCTAACATGATGCTATCATCCATAAAATTATGAAATTGAGAAATGGCATTGTCACAACATTCTGGACTGAAGAGGGTTAAACTGTACAGGTTTTTGAAGCAATTTTGATGTAAACAATGAGCTCTTATTCAAATTCCAGAACCCAGTTATTCTGGAATTAAGGGAAGAACAGAGCTGTTTGGTTCTAACTCAATGATCGACGAGAAGGGCGCGAAGCAGCATTTTAAATTATATCCCAGCAATATTCAATCATAAACTTCACTTTACAGTATTAAAGCAGAATCATTTCACAGTCTGTGTGTAGGCTTCTTAAATCTACAATGTAAGAAAAGTAAATGACCACATAATTCCTGTGTACAATAGTCCTGCAAGATTAAATGTAATGCTGTTTTTTGAGTCGCAGATGATCCCAGTTAGATTCGAATGGGTGAAATCACTACGAGCAATATTAGCATGTGGATATTTCAATGTATCTATATGAAATGTTGTTGAATATTATTTTCCCAAAAACATTGAACCAATTATTTTAAATGGCTTTGTGGTTAAAAAATATATGGAAGAATTTCTTACAAAACATGAGTGCTGTGCAGTTGGAGGTGCTCTGTTGTGTATAAACCATTAAATTAAAATCTCCTGGGTGTTCCGAAAGTAATCCACAGCACTACTCAAAGAAATGCAGGTGAGTTTCTCCCGGTATCCTAGTTAACATTTATCCCTTGACCGACATTAATCAAATGATGAACTTTGTATGGTTATTACCTCATTCCTGTACGTGGGAGGTTGCAATGTAAAAGTTAACTGCCACACTCCCTACATTACAACAGTGACTGCACTGTATTTGTGTTGCATTACCTGCTAGGCACTTTGAGGCGTCCTAAGATCAAGAAAGGTGCTATAGAAATTCAAGTTCTCTCCTGCTTTTTTATGATAATACTGCAGGTACATAATTGCATCCCAAATGTGACCGTGATTTATTTATGAAGCAATGCAGGAACATAAAAAATTGATAAGGTGAATGACAAGGGTCTTTTGCCGAGGGTGGGGGAGCTCAAAACCAGCGGGCATATTTTTAAGACCAAAGGAGGAAGATTTAAAAAGGATATGAGGGGCGACTTTTTTTACACAGAGTGTGTTTTGTGTGTGAAATGAACTGCCAGAGAAAGTAGTGGACGCAGGAACAGTTACAGCATTTAAAAGACATTTGGATAAGTACATGAATAGGAAAGGTTTGGAAGGATATGGGCCAAGCGCAGGCAGGGGGACTTGTTTAGTTTGGGATTATGGTCAGCATGGACTGGTTGGACTGAAGGGTCTGTTTCCATGCTGTATGACTCTATGGCAATATGATGGGCAGAAAAAGATCAACTGGCCTTTAATGCTGCCCCATCCTGTGAGATTTTAGAGCATTGTGGTTTAATCATTTCTCTATCCCCAGCCTTCTTTCCCCACAGTTTTATTTCCCCAGAACTCACGGTGTTGATCGTGTAACATCTATAGTACAAATGTTACACCTTGTGTGTGTGTGAGGTGGTGCGAGAGTGAAAAAGAATTAATTGCAGACAATTAATATGATCAAAACATGAAAATAGATATTTACTGTTGGAAGTTACTTGTAATGGATATTTCTCTTTCCCATCATTTCCACAAGGATCTGGAAATGAAAATGATTTTCTGAATGATTAACCAAAGTAAGGATGTTAGCAGGGCAGACGGACAGGAGGCTGGAAG